TTAAATCATTAACTTCACATTTTAAGTTAAGAAACTACTTTCTAGATTTAATATGATACTTTTATTTTTCTTCTTCATTCCTTCTTTCTAAAGATTAAGCTTATATGACCATTTGGATAAAATGATATTTTTATTATTTAAAAAATTTTTTTAAACATTTATTTATTTTTGAGACACGGAGAGAGGCAGATCATGAGCAGGGGAGGGGCAGAGAGAGAAGGAGACACAGAATCCAAAGCAGGCTCCAGGCTCTGAGCTGTCAACACAGAGCCCTATATGAGGCTTGTGAGATCATGACCTCAACTGAAGTCAGACATCTAACCAACTGAGCCACCCAGGTGTCCCAAAATATTTTTTAAAAGAAGGATAAAGGAAATCACAGACATTTCTACAATTTCATATTACAGATAATTTGATAACACTTGATTTTTGTATTCTGTGGATATCTACCAGGCACTTTAATTTGGATCTCTTTTGTGTTTTTACAATATTCTGAAGGCAGAGATCATTTTGGTGGACAAATAAGCTTAAGAAATTAATCTGTAATTGTCTGATTTATGACACAATCTGAATAGCTGTTAGATTGTTGATCACAATTTCCTAAAAGGGTAAATTAAATCTCTTACATAGACTTTAGTAGAAAAAAACTCAATATAATTATAGCTCTTTATATTTCAAGTGCATTTTTGTAATTCACTTTATGTTTATTAGTTAACGCACTTGACATATTTTCTCCCATGGACTCCCATCACTCATGCTGTACTCTTGATTTTTGGACTTTTAGTATTACCTTTGCTTCTGACATTTGAACCTGAAAATTCGGTTCTGTATATTTAACCCCTGTGGGAGTTCAATATACATACACCACAGTCATAAACTAGTTTAAACCTAAAGCATAGCCTAAATTAGCAAGAGAATTTATAACTTGCTTAAGTTGTTCGTAAACAAGAAACTTGAACAAATTTGCATTGCTAAAATCCAGGGTAAAAATGTTGTCAGAGTTCCTCAACAGTCTTTCAATGATCAACTTCCCTATAATAAAAATAGTGGTAGTGCTAACTTGAAATACAACTTTGGTAATACTTTGAAGATGTCTATTTTGTAACTCTTTGTACTAAAGTCTAGATCAGCATCTGGGAAACCCCCACAGTCATATCACATGATTGCAGTAATAACAGTTAAGATCTACCCTTCAGAGAATCCCTTCTTTGGTTGTACAACCCAGTGGTTCCAGATTATTATGGAGTTTGTAAAGACTAGCCTACTTAAAAAAATTTTTATGAAAAAGTGACCATGTTGTTTCCTGACTTGACTTGGCTCAACAATAAAATGCATTGTCTGAATTATCTAGGCTTTCCTTACACTATATGATTTTACATACGATACTTCATGCAGGATATTAGCAGATTCACATGAAGAATATCCATCAGAAGGCACATTCAAGAATCAAAGTTTACATACAAAGGGATTTAACAAGTGAAAATTAAACATTTAAAAGGAATAGTTTTGAGAAAGTGTAAATATGACTGTGTTTCCAATAGGCTGGACCACTTGGCACATGTATACCATATTGAGATTATTTTGCAAGCACAGAATTCATTAATCTGTTAATAGTCTCAATTTCAGCTAATCATGCAGAGGTATGTCCTGGGACCTTGGAGGTCTTGTGTCCCTAATTCCCTAAACTACTGACAGGGAAATTGAGATCCCAGAGGAGTCACTCAGTTATTTAGTAACATATCTTCTTACTCCATACCTAGTGTTCTTTCTATTTGCTGTGTGACTCTAATGAGAAACTGACATCAAAATACTGAGAGACGTTAATAAATTGACCAGAGTTTTGGAGAAATGAGAATAAAAAAGACCTCAATGAATGGCACTATGAAATTATTTGGAAGGAGGGGTGCCTGGGTGGCTCAGTCCGTTAAGCATCTTGACTTCGGCTCAGGTCATGATTTCAGTTAGTGGGTTCGAGCACCGCATTGGGCTCTGTGCTGACAGCTCAGAGCCTGGAGCCTGATTCAAATTCTGTGTCTCCCTCTCTTTCTGCCCCTCCCAGCTTGCACTGTCTCTCTCTCTCCCTCTCTCTCAAAAATAAGTAAACATTTAAAGAAATTAAATAAAAAAAAGAAGTTATCTGGAGGAAAAGGATATTGGCAGCTAAAAGGCTAAGGAAGATGACAGGAAGCTGAGAGAGAAAAAAGAAAAAAGTTCCATAGATATTTAGTAAATATGTTTGCTGTTCTTTGGGCCATGTTATAGGAAAAGAGCTTTTAAAAATCAGTTTTCCCGGGGTGTTTGAGTGTTTCAGTTGGTTAAGCATCCGACACTTGATTTTGGCTCAGGTCATGATCTCACTGTCATGAGATAGAGCCCCGCATCCAGCTAAGTGCAGAGCTTGCTTGGGATTATCTCTCTCTCCCTTTCTCTGCCCCTTCCCCACTCATTCTCTCTCTCTCTCTCTCTCTCTCTCTCTCTCTCTGTCTCTCTCTCAAAATAAATAAATAAACTTAAAAAAAAAGTTTTCCATACTCTTGAATTCATTTTATAGAAATAGAGTGATATCTTAGAATCACTTTGCTGTACAAAAATTATAGAAGAGATAAATTCTAAATATACTGTATAGCAATTTATTCTTTTAAGAAATGGTGCAGTCAAAATTATTGTATTATGATTATTATTATCATAATTATTATTATTATTTACCCCTAACATAAAATATGAAAGGTCACATTTATTGAAGCTTACAGGATACTCTGGCTTGAACGAGAAAAAAAGATGGAATCCTACGTACTCATCTCTTACCATCTTTAAACTATCGTAGCCTACATATTTCCTGAAGTAAATATTTACTAGTGGTTAATACGGTCCAATCTTGAAATAACATGTAGTTCATAAATGAAAGTTGAAAAAACTGAGTTTGGTTGGAGAGCAAGCTCAAGTTATCTAACCTAGGGACTTCTTTGCATGTTTTCCCTTTAGGCACTAAGATCTTGACTTAATTTTGTGTGTGTACGTGTCTGTCCCAATATGTATGTATGTATGTATGTATTATTATTATTTTAAATATAATTTGTTGTCAAATTGGCTAACATACAGTGAGTACAGTGTGCTCTTGGTTTTGGGGGTAGATTCCCATGATTCATCGCTTACATACAATACCCAGTGGTCATCCCAACAAATGCCCTCCTCAATGCCCATCACTCATTTGCCCCTCTCCCCCTCCACCCGCATCAACCCTCAGTTTGTTCTCTGTATTTAAGAGTCTCTTATGGTTTTAAATTGACTTTAGGTATCTCTTGATACACCGCTACCTAAATAATTAGTAAGGGATCTATAGGGAAAAATATATTTAAACTCACCCTAATGTAATTCTGAAATTTTTTCTCTGAAGGTTATGTTTAAGGGAACACACACCATTAAAATTTGGAAGCAGATTTCCACTCTGATGCCCTCACAGGGGGGTACGTAGCATTAAAAGGTCTATATGGCAAGGCATTACCAAATAGTTTATGCAAATCTGTAGCAACACTGTCTTCAAATAAGGATCTCAGTTTCAATCCATTTTTCAGAAGCGCATTTGCTCCTCTTTAGAGGGAAATCTGGCTCCACATGAAGAGACAAAGAACAATCCTAAAGTCAATGCTCATTTCTTTACCTATGATACTGTTGATATTTTCTTATCAAATCAAACCAAACATAACTTTGTGGCTCCTTAGAATATTTTAAAATGAGCATCCTTATGAGATGCTATAAGTGTAAAGTATGAAAATTAACATCCAGGCATGAAGTTGTCTATAATGCATGCTCCTTTATAAAAACAATACAATGAGAGCAATAGAGGTCGTGTTAAAGTATAAAGCTTTAACCATATTGCCAATCCTTTATGTAAAGTGAAAATAGTAAAGTGTGCAGGACTCGATTCTACAGAGTTTGAATAAAAGGGAGACATTTTCTCAATTTCTGCAACCAAGGGAGTTAGTCGACGTGGGGTAAAGAAATCTGTTAAGTCTTTATATTAAATCATCATTACAGTTTTTTAACTACAAATGGATAAATGCTATTTCCAACAAATATGTTCACTTGAAAAATTCTCAATAATTTTAAGGTAAATTTAGAAGCAGCGAATTTAGGAACTTCATATTTGATATTTCATCCATTTTGTACTGCTTGTGGTACATAACTAGGTGATTAAAAATGAAGATATAAAAGATAGCCTAGCAAGTAAAAAATAGTGATTACTTCTATATCCAAAGGGACATCAAAAAATGGAAAGGGGGCTGGGGTTTTCAACCGTAAATTTATGCCATTTAAAGAATTGCCAATTAAACAAAACACTCAGCAGAAAGATAAAATAAAAGTGTAAATCTTTTAGTGTATTCTATAGGTGAATAGTTCTATTTTCTCCCTTTATGTTTACTTAATTAATTTTGAGTCATTTTATACGCTTTAAGCATGTTAGCTATCATTCCAGAGGCATAAACCTGGCTATTTTATTCAAAATATCGATTAATGAATAGTATAAATGGATTTTCTCTTATAGTTATCAAACACTATGCAAATACAGAAATATACTTCATAGAAATGTTGCAGTAAACAAGTTATACTATATCCCAGGAGCGAATACTAAGGCATTTCTGTCCTCTTCTCTTAGCTAATGCAGTTTTTAGAAGTAAAATTCATCCTCTAGGAAAACAGACAAAACCAAAAACAAAACCTAGACCATAAGAGCTTCAGGTATTATAAGAGTGTCTATGTAAAAATTTAAACAAAATCATTATATAGGTTTTTCTATGTTAACTTCAAAGATAATTTGTTTAGATAGAAATCACTATCTTAAATATTCTTACAAAAATTTATCATAAAAAAACTTCACCATAACAGCAAACGTACCAAGCTGGTTTAAATGTAAGTTGCGCTTCGTTATATCTCGAAGAACACCTACAGTCATTGTTTATTAATTATAAAAGAAAGTGGATGTAAGTTTACAGATCTTAACGTTTGTTTTTTTTTTAAACTCGGGCATGGTGACTACTGGATTGCTTTTTATGCTAAGAGCACTCTGTTCATTCACAATTTGAAGCTTGCACATAGTGTCCAATAATGGTAAAGCACTTGCAAAAATGTTGCACCTGGGACAGGGAGGAGTGAGGAGAGCAAAGGTCAAATCCAGGCCTTAATAAGCATTGACTACACAGACTTTAGACTCAGTGAAAAGTCCAGACGACCCCTGCAGCGTCATCTTACAGCTCTGATTTTCTTCTTTTCAAGATGTAGTATAATCCATAAATACAACCAAATCACTAGCAGCTTAGGCTTTGGTTTGATTTTTATCTTCCAGGGCTTGTTCCCCACCTCTTCACAGAGATTTGAAAAATTAACCCTTTTCTGTCCTCAGACTAACCAAAGAACGAATTTCTTCCCGGTCACTGTTGTCAGCTTAAATCTTTATGTCCTTTCAGGGTGAGGGGAACACATTGTGAAGTGCTTACAACAACCAGAGCATTGGCATTTTCTCCCATTTAACGTGGACGAATATCCTAGCGATGGCTGATAGTACCAAGGCAATCAGACGACTGTACAAATCAGTGAAATATGTCTCTTTTACGAATGCTTCTAAACAATAAACATAATACTTAAAACCTTAAATAGAATTTTGGTTCAGTTCTGGTTTCCCATCACACAGAGAGGTTGCATTTACCTACAGATTACTAGATAACCCATATGCATGATAAACATATAATTAACTCGAATCAACTTTTTGACATATTCGCCTCGTTTTGGGTCATCTGGTGCAGTTTGCTCTCTCATATGCTTATGGACATAATCTCTTTTCATACCGTTGTCCTATTCAGCATTTGCTGAGGGAGAGGTTAGGCCCTTTAAATTAAAACAGTAAATTTCCCTGCAGGAAATACACCAAATCAAGTATGAGTTGCAGGAATGAAGAGTCCACCACAAGTGCATTACTTAAGAGAAAACTTCCACTCCAAAGTGGGCATAGTCCACTTGCTGGAAGTGAGAGCTGTCCAATCAAATTCAGTGCAATCTTGTTATTCTGTTTACCACACTGCAGACTTTCAGAATGCCAAAGACATCTGCGTCTGCTCCTACACTTATTCTTTTGAGGTCACGTAGACCCGGTTGGCCCCACTTCCTTCACAGTTTAAAAATATAAAATTAAAAAAAAATACAGCTCTGAGTGTGAACCGTAGCTGCGTAATTAAGGATGAGGCAAAGTCCTACCTAAGCAGAAATGGCTGTGAACATAGCAAACTGGGTGGGAAGCAAGTGTTCAGATGTGTGCTATAGTCTGGGGAAAGATTCTTCAGAAGGAACGTGAAAACAGATACAAATGCAGCCCCCAGAGAATTAAAGGGGCCTGGGTTTCTCAAGGATCTCTGTTTCTGACTGATGATCACAGGCTTACAGAACAGCAGAGGGGATATAGTGAGGGGCAGACATCTTACACAGCTGCAAAGCTCCCAAAACTGATTATAGTTTCTCCTGTGCTCTTCGTCTAAAGAATTAGGATAAACAGGAAAACTGAGTAGCAAGTCTCAATCATGACCCCATATAAATAAAAAGAGTAAAGCTCATTTAAAATGCGTGATTATCTATGATCCTGCAGAATCGAGGTCTATTTTTCAGAATAACATGGAAGAAGAGAAAGTGGGAGTAACTCCCAGTTGTATTCCTTGTTTTTACCTATCTGTTTTTTTTTTTTTAATTTTTTTTTCAACTTTTATTTATTTTTGGGACAGAGAGAGACAGAGCATGAACGGGGGAGGGGCAGAGAGAGAGGGAGACACAGAATCGGAAACAGGCTCCAGGCTCTGAGCCATCAGCCCAGAGCCCGACGCGGGGCTCGAACTCCCGGACTGCGAGATCGTGACCTGGCTGAAGTCGGACGCTTACCCGACTGCGCCACCCAGGCGCCCCTTTACCTATCTGTTTTGACCATCTTAGCTTCAACCATCTGAAATTACTCCGCCAATATAATTTTCACTATTTTTCTCAAGATCCCGTTATCCATTATCTCCTACATAAGAGCCACATTCACTTTCATTTGGAATCTGTTATTTTTAGGAGTAAAACTAAGCTAAAAATATGTATAATTTTTAGACTTTGTGTTTCTTAGGTTTTCTGTTTATATTTTGATGTCTCAAGTCCCTAAATATATTTTATTCATTTCGGGTAGTAGAACAAAAATGTGCTAAATCCCTGCCATATATATTTTTTCTAATTGATTTTTATGATTCACAAATCAGGAAGAAAATTTATAAAATATGAGACACCTTAACTAACACATATATTTGATGCAATGGGAGTTTTAATATTTTGTTAATACAAATTGACTCATATATATATATATAATATACATATATGAAAATCTCAGAAATTTAAGTTTTACAAGGTGCATAAAGAATTGACTTTATACGTTGGTGGCATAGAACATGCCTTCATAGATGTGAATCCCATGACCAACCGCATGTCAATTTTTGTGTACTTTTGACTCAAAGAAATTCGTTTTGATCTTATCACTCATAAAAAGCATTTTTCAAACAATTGCACTAGTGTGGCTTTTGATTAGGCATCCCATTTTTGATAACTAGTGGATAAAAGGTTACCTGGATAAGAATGAGCAAAGAATTCTAAATCTGAGACAGTGTTGCTGTGAGGCCAGTGTTTTCTCAATAACAATGATAATTAATTCAGAGTTTTTCTTATCTCTAGCATGTATTTTAAAAATCTGCACCTTTGGTACGGGTTTCTGTCTTTATTAGTCAAAATAATGTCTGTATCAGAAGGATAATTTGTTTTCATCTAACACTTTTGCCATTCTAAAATTACATTTTTAAAAAGGGAACATCTTTGAGTTTTTGAAGTAATAAACTATGAAGAAAATTATTTGAGTCAAGAACTTGTCAAGAAGAAAAACACCCTAAAAATTCACATGCCCACTTTACCAGCATATATGATTTGCTACTTAGCCATTGACCCTACAGATCATCTTCAATGTTTGGTATCTTTTACAAATCCAAGTCCAAATGAAATCTCCAGAAAAAAAAAATTATAAATATAATGACTTCACATGTAATGGACCAGGAATTTTATATAGTAGATACTTTCAAGGTAAATTTAACAGTATATATGTGTTTCAATAATAATGATGTGTTCAAATAAGTTTAGTATCATAATTCTTTCATCTTAATTCAATCATTATGCCAATGTTGTAATGTTTTTTTAACCCATAAATTGCTTAGCAGGTAGTTGAAAGACTATGGAGGTGTGTGATAACTTTTCTGATTACTTATGAAATGGCAGAAACACCCGACTCAAATAATTTGCATTGAGCAATAATCTTGTAGCTATATTAATATGACTAAATATTAAATGTTTTCAATTAGTTTAGATTGACTAGTAAGGGGAAAACACAAAGACAAAACTGAGGCAGTGAGCCTCACAATGCCTCCACTGATTTCTCCACTGGCCCTTCCTTTGCACATGGTCAATTAGAATTGAAAATCCTGAGCTGATTTCATTCGCTGGAATTTTTAAGCAGGTCAGGAAGAAAGATGTTATTGAAAGGAAAAGTCTCATCTAAATAAGAAAGGAGCACGTGGCCATCTGGTCTTAGCTATACATATAAAAAGTTATTTCAGCTGAACTGCAGACTTGGTGTTTAAAAAGATGTGCCAAAAACCAACCCCAAATCTGTTTACGGTAAAATATCCCAAATGTTTCTTTTTAAACCTCCAAATATGCAATACACAGATCATTTCCTATCTGTGATTCATGAGCCCATTTGACCCCAGCGCCTCACTGAGCTTGACTGAGTTTCAGGCAGTGGAACATTCAATCACTCTTAGAATACTATTCCTTAATGGGATATCAACAGGACCGTGGGTCTTTCGAAAATTGTGAAAATAACTTGGATAGTTTTCACTCAAATTAATTTTGAGGGCTGTCTGCAGGTAGATTTGACAGAATAAAATCTGAGGCATGAAGCAGCCAAACCAATTTTCCTTCTTTTCTCATTGTGACTTGAGGTTCCTGGGCATTCTCTTTGTGGTCGGTGCTCAGACATCCACTCAAAATAACTTCAGGCCTCAAAGCCTAAAGGCTAAGTTTAAAAAAAAAAAAAAAACAACCCAATCTGTCTTTTCATAAGAGAAACTGAGTGTGAGTCTACTTTTAGAAACCATCTTCATAATGTAAAGAAACAAAGTTTCTTTAAATAACATTGTATACCTCTTGCCACATTAGAGTCGTCTCTATTTGGACATGATTGAAATATAGTTTGATATGAGGCATTTGCAATAATTACATCATCAACACATTAATTTGGCCATTATCTGACTATGCCCTTCTGCTAGCATAGACATAGCTAGTTGACCTCCCCATGTAAATTTCATTGTGTTAAAATATGTTAATATCCTAATGCAATAGCTTTTAAAAATAACTCTCGTTATAATAAAATACCAACAATTATATTTGGTCATCAGACTCTCTTCAAATACATTTTATATATACTGTATCTACACACATGTGCAAGAATACACGATTATAATATCAACATATATGCTAAGCAAGAGTGTAGGTTTTCACTAAAGTCTTCAGAAAAATAATTGAATTAAGAATATTCTCATATATGAAACACAACAATCTTGACAGATCTCTGACATAAGATATCATTGGTTGTTTTTGTATATTTACTATGTTTGTTCTGTCATTTCAAATAAATCATTACTATTGTGTAAGAAGAATAAACTGTACTATAGTAAATTGTTCTTTCTCCTTTATGCTCTGAAAAACCATTTGTTCTTGAATTGGCGTTACGTAGTTCAACTATTTCAATCAAGTCCATTATCTTCTTCTCTTTGAAAGATGCCTCTTTAGTAACCTGTATTCCCAGTGGGCAATGTCATGTTTTGTTTTTAGAAAGTAGGTGAAATTTAAATCCAACAATTTTTAATTTTTTATGTTTGATAAAACAATTCTTAACTCATCCTCAGGCAAGAACTCCACTATACGCTGGAAAAACTATTTATGTAAAAATTATGGAGTCAGGCCCAAAAATTTCTCAAAAAAGTTATTTATTAGTTCACACTGGAGTCTTTAGCCCACAGAATGTCACCTAACTTGTGTGGCTTGTTTTTTCTAAGTACAAAATGTGTCCATTCTTTGAGCTATATACTTTTCTCAACAAAAGTAACATGAAAGCAAAAAAAGAACAAAACACTTTTTCTCTTGTTTTAAAACAATCACACAATACATCGGCAAGGTTCATCTCATTAATTTGTATGTTGGTGTATAAATAGTGCTGTTCATATACATGTGTCTTACAAATCCTTTCAAAATTAATCCTTTTCCGAGTGTGCAAGAAGGGAGCATTAAGTTCAACTTCCAAAATTTAAAACAGAATTTATCGAATGTTTGGCATATAAGAACTGGTTAAGTATACCTGGCCATTCTAGAATAATAGAGATTAATTTAAATTACATATAAAAACTTAGTAATGAAGAAACATTATGTATGCAAAGTTGTTCTGTATTGATGTCTCAGATATGGCAATATGTTTCAGTAAAATTATTCAACTTTGTTCTATTTGAGTAAAATAAAATAGTACAAGTAAATACACACATTATTAACAATCTGGACACTCCTTTGGTGGATAACTGTCTAGTGTAAAACCCACAAAATAAACTTGAAAACAGATATAAGCTCTACACCGGCCCACAAAATTTTAACCAAATTAACATCTAACCCAGAGCACATGAAATAAGCATTATATTTAAATCATTGGCATATACTCTTTAACCAATAAGTTGAGAGTGAAACGATTTAATATTTGCAAAAATTGAAATGGCAAATAAGAATCACCAAGTCATAACATCTATCAGCATTATAACATTTTTATCCAAGTGATTGCAAAATGTTCTGGAGTTTTACCTCCTATTCATATCATTGAAATTCAACCACCTCTGAAACGTTCAACCAGCATATTAGTAACGCTTCCCAGAACGAAAAAACTCTGCCTGACTACATACATCTTTATAAACATGCCCATGCTGCCCCACAAACACATCTTCAAGAAAGAGATAGCTACAAATAAAATAGTCCTTTCCTGTGGGTGTTGGTTAACCCCACAAACATGTGAACTTCCTATGGGCACACACCCAACAGACATTGGCGATTAGGTGATTGAAAATGTTGCCCACAAAGGCGAAATTTTATATGTGATGACATCACCAGCAAACCCGGGTTTCTCTGTGATATAATGATATAATTGCCTGGCTGAGTGTGTCTCTTGAGTGTGTGTGTGGGGGGGGGGGGGGGAGAGACAGACCAGAGAGCCTTAAAGAACAGCATCATCAGAAATGCTATAACCTTCTGCAAGGTTTGCAAGAATCTTTCCACAGACCTTTGACTTTTTCCAGATTTCTTACAGCTTAAGTTCATTCAAAAATGCATTTCCCGCACAGGCAAATTATGTTTTGTTTAGTTAGCACACTGTTAATCCTAAAATATCCCCCCGATGGGTCTGCTGAGATGAGATTTCTATACCAAATGAGGCATGTGTATCTGTATAATGTGATGCAGGACTTGCAGGGTCCCTTGAGACCTGCCTTTGAAAGGATAAGACGTCTTGGTTGTAAAGGTAATGAAAGGGTTAAAAATTGAGGCTGTCTGGGGTAAAAGAAAGGGGATATTGTTGTCTTTAATCTTTCCGCAGTATGTGTAAGACTTCCATCCCGGATCTGCACATAGCAGCGGAATAGGCTCGGCATGCATTGCGTGCAAGCTCCTTGATTGTAGAGGGGGGAAAAAAACCTGGCTGGAGTCCAGACAGGCTGGAGCTCTGTTGATCATTATGTCTAGCCTTCAGGTGTCTCAGCACACAGTGGGCGGCGGTGGGGGAGGTGTAGATAACATGAGAGCAGACAAAGAAAAAAAAATGGTGTATTTTAAAAAGATTATGCGAAAATTTGTGTCCAAGTCCTCTTTAAAAAATGAATCCTACCGTCTTGGACTTTTATAATTAGAACGCAAGCTCTGCTCTGGCAGATCTCTTTAAGCCATAATTAGTTATGTCTGGAGCCTTTGAATAATTCCTTTCAATAATTGATGGAGTTGATACTCTCTTTTAAAAATAAGGAGGGCAATGTTTTCTTACAAACTCTCTTTTTGTTGGAGGCTTTGTCGTTCAAAATCTTCATCAGTCACAATCACGTCGATTTGATTTGCCTTTTAATTTCTTATGAGACTTAGCTTATAACTTTTTAAGAATTTGGATGATTCTAGAAGTAAAAGCATAATGCATTGCTAGATTACCCTGGCTGAATGTAAAAAGAAAGCAATAATACAGGATCATTCTCCCCCATTTGTTTCCAATTATTTTATAAATAAATAAAAAAAACTGGTTTGTACGTCGCTTCTGTTTGAAACTCCATCAAAAAAACCTTACCAAGAATGTGAGATGCTAAGCATATCTTTTGCCTTCTGGTAAGAAGAAATCCCAAATTATTTTATTCTTCAAGCATTCTTCTATAAAGAAGCTTCCGCATGCTTCCTCCCCACCCCCACATCCTCACTCCACCCTATTAGGAATTTCAAAAAAAAAAAAAAATCTTTATACATGGAAGGCTGGATCCTGATACAGAAAGCTGTCTTTTCCTTCTGTCTTTACACTGACCACTTTACACGGTCACCTTTCACTTCTGCCGGGACTTTATTTCACATTTTGTGGACTAAAATGCTGAAACCAGTTCAGTCTCTATCATTATTATGAAATGAAAAGTGGTAGTTAAAAAACATAAATAAAAAGAAAGCTCTGGCTTGAAGCCATTGTTCAGAATTTCAGAGCTATTTGCCCCCAAGTGTCTTAGCAGTCTTTCATAGCTAATTATAATAACTGTCAGATGTCTGGAAAGTCTATGGTACCCTTGTCAGTGGAGTCAGCAAAGTTTGTCTTTTATTTTTCTTGGGGACAGATCAGATCTGATTAGACATAAAGAATGAAAAGAAGTGAAGTAAGTACATATGTGTGTGCCTTCATTTTTTCTTATGAACAAAGCAGCATACTGGAGCAATGTTCCGGGGTGCAGCTTCCTGCAGCTACTCTTTGGAATGCCTGACTTTTATTTTTAATTCTTTATCTTTAACGTAATAAAGCATGCAACAATTGTCCCTGAAACATTTTCCTGCCTGCTGAATACCTTTCCGTACACGTATAAAAGAGTACCCTAAAAAAATCTTCAAATATTTGATGCTTATGACATAAAACTATTTTAATCAGTACACTTGACGGAAAGAAATGTATACTTACAATTTCAAAATGGTTATTTGTGCTAGTTCCTTGTCCCCGGAGGCATAGCAGAGGCTTTTGCCAGACTGTCCCTGATGCAGGTGCAGAATCCCCGTTTTCATGACGGAGGGAGGTAGGAAAGTGCTTCACAAAGTCACTCGGAAGTCAGCCACTTGTGCTCAGGCATCCTTGCTCCTGTGAAAGCTGTACTATCTGCAGTTCTGAATTGAACTAAATTACAGCCCATGTGAAAGACAGAGGCAGCGAGTCATGTGGGAGATACACAGCCATCCTATTGGCCACCAAGACATAGCTTAGGCATTCTGCCTTTTCCACCATTGGTGAATAGTTAAAACTGAAAGCATCTGGATCCTCCTCTTGAGTTTATTTGTCCTTTATGTGTGGAAGAATGACTGTAGGATTTTACAGTGACAGAATTAGTTAAGAAAGGGACTGAAGTCATCCTTCACAGAAACCAGTGGGAGGAGATTGGAAGCTCAGCTTTTTCAAGATTTTTCTTTCCTTTTTATCCCCCTGCCCTGCAGTTTTGTCTGTGATTTGCCTGGTTGCCTGTCAGAAAAACGTGTGTGTGTGTGTGTGTGTGTGTGTGTGTGTGTGTTTTCCCAGTTAACTTTGGAGGTGACAGAAAGTAAATTTTCATCTCATTCCTTTGTGGAACTCAATCACATTTGGAAGCACAAAATCATTTTCTTTTTGTCAATCATGAATTTTCAGATTTTATTTTGATACACAAGCTTTATGCAGTTCTAAACTAGCAGACTAAATTATTCAATAGTGACCCAGAAATAGAATTAACTTTTTTGAGTTGCTGCTTAAAGCAGGGGGAAAAATAACTCTGGAAAACATTAAAAGGCAACAATGTCAAAGAAATCAAAGTAAGGGCTTCAGCTAAGCAGGGCTGGAGAGGAAGTATAATTTTTCTAAAGTCATTCTTTAATTTAGCACTTACGGTAATGCAAAACTGTAATAATACTGACAGCCAGAATTTATTTTTCAGTCACTTCAGGATGATTTCATTCACCCGATTCCTAAAAATCACTGGTGCATTTGTAAAGATTTAGGGGTACAAGTTACCCAAGAGATGATCAAATCCCATATTTCTAGGGTTGAAGGTGAGGAAGGTGGTCTCTGACAAATACTAACTCTATCCATTCACACTGATCCGCAGAGTTACGCAAAATAAATGGATAGCGAAGTGAATAGGAGTTCGCTCTTTCTTGTGTGCCTACCAAGACATAATCACTCTTGTTTAATTCAATCATTACAACAATCCATAGAGTCCCTTTTATTACTTTCGTTTCTCTGTGGCAAAGACAGATAATTTGCTACCATGTTTTGAACCCATATTTGACTGATTTCATGTCCTTGTTTTTCAAATAGATATGTTCCCTTCTAAAACAATAATGGTTATCTCTTATAGGTATCTTCCTTTTGTGTATGCGAGGTAATGTGCACAGCACTTCACATCATCTTGTTCAATTCTTACAACTATTAATAGGTTAGTTACTCTGTTATCCCCACTTTGTAGATGAGAAAATGGTGTTTATACTACCCAGTGTCATAAAGTTGGTAGTTGGTGGCACTTGATTCAAACCAATTTTCTTCCATTTTACTATGCGTTGTATAGAGATTGTCATCATGATGTTGAATAAGATGATATTTTTTCCCTTCCTCCTTTCCTTCCTCCCTTCCTTCCTTCCTTCCTTCCTTTTTCTTTCTGGTATAATATATTTGAATGTTTCAGCATAAACAGAGAATATACAGTCATGTAAGTGTGCTTAGATCAGACCTAGACCATACCATTAAAAGTGACCCTAATGTGACTATAAATAGGCATTAGCGTAGCAGGCATGGAGCCATATTTTTCTTTGGGCCTCAGGAGAGAGCCCCTCCATAGAATCTTGTAACAATAGAAGCTTCCATATTTGTTGAGGGAATGCATTTTCCGAGAACATTAGTCTGGAGTTTAAGGAGTCCTGCAGCTGGTTTGGAGCTTGAAACCCATGAATTAATAGGATCAGACAAGTCATGGATCCTTTCCAAAATGGCATCAAAAATTCCATTTCTGCTAGGGAAATATCAAGAGTCCTCCTGGAGTTTTTTGAATGTGTCCCTCCTCCAGCCTAAGGAACTTGCATTCACTCCTCCTCATCTCCATGTGGCCTATTTGTAGACTGGAGGCAATTCCTGAAGGAAATATGACTGCATCCTCACCACCTATGCAATCTAAAGTACACACTGCTCTCTCCTAGAGTGTGTTGTAGCTAGAATAGGTTATGCAGGTCCTAAGTAGAATTAGAAGATAATTTTTAGTCCTCTTCTTTTTGAATATTTTTTTTCATTGAATGGTGCTTAGTTTCCCATAAATTGTTGCCACCCCATCCAGAATTTTGGTAGTTCTGTCTTCTCATTCAACACTCAAGTGATAATATTATGTTATCGTATTTTTATTAAGTTTCTCTACTATAGTGTAAATATTTCAAGGGCTGAATTGTATTTCACTATTTTTTTTATTTTTTTTCAACGTTTATTTATTTTTTGGACAGAGAGAGACAGAGCATGAACGGGGGAGGGGCAGAGAGAGAGGGAGACACAGAATCGGAAACAGGCTCCAGGCTCTGAGCCATCGGCCCAGAGCCCGACG